GCTCACACACTGCCAAACACTTACACATACCTGCGGATACAGTGAAGGTAAGATATCAAAATATCGAACTTCAGATTCTTAAAGGGATAATTTACCCAAAAATGAAAAAACCTGTCATGTTATTCCAAAACCGTATGACTTTGTGTTTCAGCTGAGACTATGGTGAATGTGTTGGACTTTAAGAAAAGCATTGGCCTTTGGCACAGTGTTCAAACAGTAAGATAATTGACTCCATTTATTGTATGTTGTCATTTATCAGATTTGTTTTTGTAGCCTACACCTGATTTTTTTTTTTTTGCCTAGCACTTTTTTGAAAAAGTGATTTCTCTTTTTTTTTCTCTTCTTTCTCTGTGTAGAGTGTGTTGAATATGTTACATGTGGTCAGTGTTCCATATGCAGTTATGAAAGTAAATCCTCTGTCCTGGATCCAGAACGTCTGCCAGTACAAAGGTACACACATACAAACACACACAGTTACATCAGTATGTGATAATGTGCAGACTTTTGATCTCCTGGCTTTTTAGATGGTGTGCGTGTTCAAAGATCACCTATCGCTCTTATCAGAAGCGAAGTCTGCTGTATAAAACAAGAGCACACATAGTGTTACACATTCTGTTAAATAATCAGTCTCTTTCTATGTGTGTGCAGCTAAGGTGGCTTGTGTGAAGAGTAGGGATCTACACTGGGCTTTGATGGCCTACAAAGACCAGAGTGACACCACCATGAGCTCTCTGAGAATGCTGCTGATCGCTGATGGATCAAACCCCTGTGAGTGTGTTAATGATGAACCAAACCCCCTTGAGTGTGTTTTACTGGTGAATCAAAGCCTGTGAGCATGTTACCTTGTGAATCAAGCCTCTATGTGAAGTATGTAAATTCTCTGTCTTTAAATCCCAGGGTCGATATCCTCCTGTGACGCATTCTTGAACGTGTTTCAGAGCATGGGCTTGAGGTCAGAGGTCATATGCCCGTGTGCTGGCTCCCCCGAGGCCCTAACTGTAGCTGTGAGGAGGTATAAATACACTCAC